TTGGAATGTAATTTTTGGAATCATTCCCAAAATATTGGACTTCTCCCATTCCTGACCAAGTTGGGAGGTTTTGTGAAACCCCACGTTTGATTCCAAAGCTAATTTTTTTTTTATTTCATCTCACTCATTGCTTCACCATCTCTCTTCTTTTTTCATCACATTTTCCTATTTGCTTCCTTCCCCATATCAGACCGGCCTTTCCCTTTCCTCTATCCCACTTATTCCAATCTTCTAATTTCTCTCCTACCGGTGTAGCAGGCCTCTTTTTTTCCAATCTTCCATAGCTGACGACGGCTCTGTGCTGCAAATGTGAGAGTAATTTTTGTTGGCCAAAGAATCTCATCTTGATTGGTTGCTGACGGCTCTGTGCTGCAAAAACCCACAGCTGACGACGGCTCTGTGCTCTGTGCTGCAAATCTGAGTCTTTTTTGGGGGTTGTATGGCTGCAATGGAGGAGTGTGAGATCCCGAAATTTATTGGGTTTTTCATGATCTTGTTTTAGAATTGAAGGTATTATGTTTACTTGTTACTTGTTTCTTAACGACTTGTTCTGATGAATTGTAGCCTTTTGAATCTAGTTTCCAACACCATAAATCATTCTCAATTTGAACTTGTATTGAGTGAGTGGTGGTCTGAGTTCGAAAGTGCAGCAAAGCTGCAAAAGTGGAAATCTTTCTTTTCTTGCTAGCCAAATGGTTAGGTTAGTTTTGGGATGTATTGTTTTGAAAATTTTGATGTCAAACACCCATCCAGTGCTCATCAAATGTTTATAGACCCTTCGTTTCAAAGATGGAGTGGATTGGGGTTGGTTTTAGTGGACAAAACTTTTGGAAAAGAAGGAGAACTAAGGTTGGCACTTACTTTAAAAATTTTCCCAAACTTTGGTCATTTCATTAAATGATTTTCCATGGGATTTGTTACGTGAAATTGGATAGAGAAGTAGTTCTCATATGGAAGTTTAAGTGTACCAAATTTGGTGTAATTTCAATGCCATTTCGATATCCAAATGATGCCCCAAAGATTGCTTGGCAAATCTGGAACTTCACTGTTCTAGTGGTGAAATTTAACCAACTTTAGACTGTGACATCTTCTTACTAAAAACTCCAAATTTAGTTCCATTTATTGTGTTTGAAACCTTGTTTGGAACTCTTATTGTGTTACGAATTTCAAAGGCTAGTTCACTTTTTGTGAATTTTGCCTAATTTCCAAAGATTGCCGAAAAACAAGACTGAATCTGCCTCGCTTGCTCAGATCAGCCACTTTGGGCTGAAAAAACGAATGCCTTCAGTTTAGAATCTTGGAAAAATGTCTTCTAGAAAATTTTAGTACTTTGAACCTAATTTCCAACGGTGTAAATTTTTCCATTTTTGGACGTGTCAAACTCAAGATTCGATTTTCCAAAGATCATCATGCAAAGCTGAAATTTCCCAATTTCTTATGAAATGAGTTTTTAAGAACTCGTTACTCTTTCTTTTACACTCAATTTCATGGATGTACTTGGATGTACTATTTTAAATAACTTGGATGTACCCTATATTAGTGTTGGATCAACCTTTATAGAAATGAAAACTAGAATAAGAAATTAGTAGGAATATAACATGAGAATATAGAAGTGAGGGGTAATTGTTAGAATAACTCTTGACCAACCTTGACCAAGACTAGAGTTATGTCTATCCAGTTGAAGTTTCATGCAGCTTTATTCCTCATTCTTTTTCTCTTGCTTTGGTCGGTTCTAGAGAGAGGGGAGGTGAGAGATATTTCTTCTTCATTTTTCCAGCCAAGAGAGTAGGAAAAGTCAAGGAAAGCTGCAGGAATTTTTTTCCCTTGTCCTACTCCAATTTCCCAATCGTGAGAGATATACTTCTCCATTGCCTCCATTTTTGACCAAGTCCAAGTAGCATGCAAGTTGACTAAGCCAAATTTACCTCCTCTTGTTTCTTTTCTTCAGCTCAACCACCGAGAGAAAGAAAAACAATGACAAACAAGACTGGTCACTTGTTTTGTCTCACTTTAGCCGAGAGAGAGTAGAGAGAGTTGAGAGGAAAAATTTGTGCCATGCTTCAACCTTCCAGCCGAGAGGAACTTGAGAGAAGAATAAAGAAATTTCTCTTGTTTTGCTTCCACTTCAGCCAAGAGGAACCAGAGAGAGAACACTTAAAGGAAGCTTGTGTCTTACTTCCATTTCCAGCTTGCTTGATCGGGTAGAAGGACCAAAACAGGGGAGTTAACTTCTAGCTTGTGTCAAAGGTAACATGACTTGGAATTTCAATTTCTTTCACATACCTTAGAGGGCTTTTGATGTATGTTTGGTTGAGGTTGGATTGAGGTAGAAACAGGTTGTAGAGACTTGCTTTATTGCTGGAAATTTTCCAGCTTGGATTGAACTAGGAATAACCATTTGTTTTCTAGATTTTGGCTCTTGTTTTGCTGCAAGTTACTAGGGAATCCTTGAATCCCTTTTGATAGATGAAGCTTGGTGTAAATATAGCATCCACGTGAGCTAGTGGTTGCTAAAATGAAATTTCCAGATTTGACCGAGGGAGAAACATGAGCTCAATTTACAGCTTTTCTTGTGAAATTTTGAGGAGTTTCCACTAGGAAGTTTTGCTATAAATGTTATATTTCTTGTTTCGTATGATATATAGCATGTTGTCTTTGATCTTGGTAGAAAATTGCTGGCTTAGATGTGAGATTGGCAGCAATAAAGTTGAAGTAACTCTTGTGAAAGCTTGAAATTGTCCGAAGTGGGAGAGAGGAAGAGTTGAGCTTCACCTTTGGTTTTTGTTGAAATTTGATGCTTAAATTATGTTAAAGTTGCTGATATGAATGTCATACTTAAGTGTATGAGTGGTTTGAATAAAATTTTTGTGGTTTTAAAAGAGAAAAGGAGTTTTTCACAAGTGAAAAATGAGTTTCCTGATTTTCGGCTTTCACTGACCAGTCTCAGTAAAATGCTTATATCTTGATGTCGAAAAATCCGATTGAGGTGCCGTCAGTGGCATCGGAAACTAGACTCATGGGCCTTCGTTCTGTAAAAATTTCATATTTTTCCTCCTGGTGTACTGCTGTCCGTGATTCCTCAAAGTAGGCTGTCCTGCTTGAATGTCCTGTTTTTACAGGAAAATGAATTTGTAACTTAGATGATGAATCTGCCCTGTTTTTGCACTGCATGGTTGTCCATGGTAAAGGCCGAACCAGGTCCTGCTCAGAACATGAATTGTAGATACTTGAGTTAAATATATGCCTGCAAAATTTCAGCCCAATCGAAGCAACGTAGCCTGTGAAAAGACTGAAATACCCCTGCTGCCCTGTTTCTATCCGAACATGCTAATCAGCTTCTGTACTTGGTTGTTTTGACCAGGAATACTACTGATTTGGTTGTCGATGTCTTTTTAAGACTTATAGCCTTGTATCTTAGCTTTCAAATGGCTTTGGAATCCTTGAATTGGAGTTGTATATGCTAAGATATGACTGAATGAATCAGGACTGCCACAGTAAACTTCGAATTGGAAAATCTGAGGTTGTTTTGGTAAATTTGACCTAGAAACATTGTAAACTAGACTGAGTAGCCTTCATCAAAGTTGTAGCCCTCTTTCTTAGCTTCGTAACGGTATAAATTACACCCCAATCCGATAATCGTAGTGCCGGTTGTGTCCAATACGCTAAATGACATCAAATCTGTTTTTGGGTTTTAGTGTTTAACTTTCATTTCCGGACTTTCCCTAACTTACTTTGGTACTTATACGTTCTAATGGAGTCTTATTTTTTGTAGTATGTGGATATGGTTTATGACTCGTAAACGAGTCTCATTGTGCTTGTTTGAATGTTTTAGGGCGTGACGGTGGTCCGAAACGCTCGTCGGGTGGACAAGTGTGAAAATTCTCTTTGCTTACTTGGTGAGTGTACTACTCACATGATTGATACTTCTTGGCTTTGTTGTACTTGAGATACATGATTGGAATGTTTGTGTTTACTGATGATACTGGTTGAGACGAGGGTGTACTTTACCACTCTCGCACTCTATGGTTTAATTGACTGTTCACTGTATCACTTGAATTGACTTGATTATACTTGAACTGTGTCGTTTGAACGTGTCTCCAATGACTTATACTGTTATCACTGAGCTCAACCCCATTGGTGGTCAATTGAATCGAGCCAGCAAGGGCTTGATCGAGGAAATTGATAAACCATGGGGACTGTTATAAGGAATCATTGAGTATGAGACTCTTGGTTCCGGTATACTCGAGTATTACCATTTATTGAACTGTTTGGAGTTCGGGCCCGGTAGGGGTATGTGAGGTGGAAGGAAATGGGAGTAAAATGGGGTCTACGGTATTGGTTACTTTTAAACATTGACGGAGCGTCAATGAGGTGAGATCAAGTATGCCAAAAGTGGAAAAGGGCTCTTGAGAGCCGACCGTATCCTTTTACAAATCTTCTTGGAATGTGATGTTTGTTGTGCTTACTTGTTGAACTTATTTGAATAGTGTATCACTGTGATTTTGTACCCCTTGAATGCCTGAGTGATAGTACCTCATTGGGCGAAAGCTCACTCCATTAAATTTTGTTTTCCTTACAGAGAACAACTTTTGAAGACTGTGATATTTTGATGTACGAGTTGAGCTAGTTTTAATACATATTCTGTGTAAAGCTCCTCGATGCTTGGAAACTCTGAATGTACTTGGATCCAAATATTTTCCTTTTATTTGTAAATTACAAACGTATATGTATAAAACTATTTACCCTGTTCATGTATCCTATTTGGTTTGGAAATGTTTTCCCGAGTTATATGGCTATATCTGTATTCGATTGGCTTCTAGTTGGATGGTGACGTGGCAACCACTATTCATTATGGTTTCGATTTTCGTTTTGCCATTTGGCGACTTTGAATCATTTGAGCGCGCTATTACCTTTCTGAACGTTTTCGATTTCATTTAACTGCTCGTTAGTCCTAGCAAGAGTTGGGCAGGCAGTCCGCTAACCCCTTTGGTACGCCTTAGGGGAAGGTAGGGCTGTCACAAGGAGGAGTTAAAGTGGTGGAGTATGGCTGCAAATCTTTTTGATGGAGTATGGCTGCAATCTGATGACGACTCTCATCTTTTTTGGGGGTTGAATGGCTGCAAATCTGAGTCTTTCTTTCTTTCTTTTTTTTAAAAGTTGTTTAGAAACTAGATCTAATGATCTTCAAGTTACAAGTGGGGTTTACGAAAACAGATTTTGTGATCTTGAAGTCCAAGAAAAATAGCGGTTGATCCATTAATGGTCACTATGAAGTTCTACAATTCGGTTAAGAAGGATGTTCTGCAATTGGATTAAGAACAAAAAGGAGAGAACAAAAAAAAATTTAAAAATGATAAAATATTCAAATTTTAATGTAATATCCATTCCTGACAAATATCTACCAAGCGCTTGTTATTGTATTGATACCTTGACCACAACCCAATCAAAACCCATACTAATTTTTTGTAAATGATTCCAATTACAATTCCGTTTCCTAAACATGAACCAAGCGGCCCCTAAGTGTTTACTATGGTTCAAGTTTGCATTTCTCAATCTCTTTACAATGTCGAATATCATTCAAGAGTTTATTTGTCTTTCTCTTCCCAGAGCTTATTCGAATAATCTCCTACTGCCATGTTTTTATCCTGCACAAGAGGTAATGCAATTTTATGTTTAAGCCATATGAATTTTATGTATCATTAAGGATATAATCTGGACAGAGTAATAAATGAACTACTCTGATGGAACTAAAAGGAATATAATATTACAGTATAAATTGAGTTGGAATCGGCCCAGCAGGAAGCAAATAAAAACTACTTTCTCCTCTATAAAATATGTAATTTGCTGGTAGCTATGCTTGATATGCATATGAAATGGTGATAACGTTCTTTATTGCCATGGCCTTGTATGTGTCAAAATCAAGTGTAAATTAAGCTCTTGTATGTTGAAACCAAAACTTTACACATTAGACAAAATTAAGAATGATACCATGTAAAAATAGGAACGAAATATGTGATCAGTTTTGAAGCCAAAAATATTGAAATTTGAGAAATAAAAATGAAAGAACTAACATTTTCATGGGAAACAAATACGAAACAGAAATTATTGATTAAGTAAAAAGGCCAATCAATCTCACAATTATTGATCACTATACTGGGGAAAGATAAATGATAGCAAATAGTAAAATAGTTCATATCCACACTGTTTGTGGTTGGAAAACCATACCTTGCTTCTTGATAAGAATTCATGAGAAAAGTCTTGTAGTAGCCAGCCAACTCGAGCAGTTCATCAAATTTCTCACTTTTCCTCCAAAAATTTGAAAAGCAAATTCAGTAAGTACTATATGATTGATAGCAACAAGTGATTATTCAAAAAACAACGGGTGAAGGAAATGCAAAGAGATTTAGAAATTTGAGGGATGAAAGCAAATGATCCTAAGAGGGTTCAGCACATGCAGTCCTCAACCAAAAGATGTTGAATTTAGGCAAAGACTTGCTGTTCATCAAGAATGACAGTAATACCTATACATTATTTGGAAACAAGCACAATCAAGTCATCCATGTGGTTTCCATCATTTAATAGAAAGGCAATGAGCGGACAGGATGACTTGGAATTCAAGAAAAAATCAAGTTAACAGGAATACCTAAAACCAAGAAAAAATGTAAACCACTGACCAACTTGATATGAACTATTTAAACTATCCATGAAATAGCAAGTTGAAGTTCCCATGGATTACATCATTTTCATTAAGAAAAGGCATAAGATCATTACATGCAATCTTGGACCAATCAGTAAAGTCAAGATCAACTGAAAGCTTTTAATGCAGAAATTATTAATACAATTCCATAAGGCTTCCACAAATATGCCTTTTTCGAAAAAGAAACAGGGCTGCAATGTAACAATTCTTGGATCTCGATTAAATTGGGAAATTTGTAATATAGGTCCAATTAAAAACAAAAGCAAAAATTTTTTTGGTCGAATAAATTGGGGAATTTGTATCAGTTAAGTTTCTTTAGAAAAAGTAACAAGTAACCGAGGATAGCATAAGATGCATAAGGTAAATAAGTACCTATTTAACTCAAATTCTGAACTACATCAATTCAAAAGAAAACCATGACTTGCGTTCCGAATCTAAAGCCAATTCGAGAGTCTTGTAAAGGGTTTGACTTGGCATCTGGACTGCTATATCCTTCAATTTTAGTTTGTAAAGAACCACATTGATCATCTTCCAGTAGCTCAAAGACAATAGTGCCAGGCTAATTGTGATATTTCCATCACCACATACCTTGACTAATTTTTTCACCATAAGGTGTCAGTTTAGATTCTTTATCCACTTCTTCACCTTGAAATCCATAAACAGCCTCCAAAGACTTACCCAAAATCCATCAATAGTTGTGCAAAGAATAAACTGCTAAATAAATTTGAAAAAAAAAGAAAGCAAAGAGAGAACAAAAACACTGAAACGATAACTCCCGCACATACCTTGAAGGCTGAAATAAGAAAAGTAGCCTCCTTATTTCGCTCTTCCTTTATCTAACAAAAATTTAGTGTAAACAAGTGTCGGCCAGATGAAGAATATAATTAAAACAACCTCATGGTAATAACATGAGAATGATTCAGAGAAAATTATTGAACTTATTCTCCATATTCTTCAACATTATTAACAGTTGCAAATGAAATATAAACCCATCATTTTTTCCTTGCTTTTTTTAATTAAAATAAAAGTCTATAGTTACATGAAGCAAGATGATATGTAGATTAATATCACAAGTTTTCCTCTCCTTTCTGAGTATGACCCTTTTGATTTCACAGCCCTTTCAAGAATTCAATATTTTCATTTAATGGTTCACAAACCTTACATGGTTTGAAATTTAACTACTTCAACCATTAACAGCCTAGAATTTAACCCCAAGCATTGAATAAATTGCATAGATAGCATGCTTAGCAAAGCAAACATGACAATCCAATCGTTAATCAAACAATTTTGATCCAAATCCAAGGAAAAAAGGCCCCAAGATGGAATTCCACTCACTTGATCTATACAAAGTTGTCCAAAAAGTGCATTAGTTGGCTGCAAAAAGAAAAAAAAATGACAAAATCATTACCAACTAACTAAGAGAGTTTAACAGAAACAGTAAACCCACACCCTCTTACTTTGAATTATTTACTTATAAAGAGTTATTGGCAATATCAACTGGAAAACAAAAATTTCTTTGAACATGAAAAAAGAGGAAAGAAATTAAACCATTTCATCTAAGGAAATAATCACAAGTTTCAATGCAAAAAAGTGAAAGCATAAAATATTGGATCTTAAGTAAGGATAATTACTGAATGGAGTTGCTTAAAAAGACCTGACAATCTCATAATCATGACTTACACTGAAATTTTAGGAAATACTTCAATAAGAGGCAGACTGTCCTCTCCATAGTCCATTTCTTGAACGTCTATGAAAGAGGAGTAAAGATAGGAGAAGATTATAGTTGACTTCTGGTAAAAAGAAAGAAAAAATAGACAAACAGAGATCCTAAATGTATTTACTTGAGCAAAGAATTTCCAATCATTCATACTTGGTAGCAAATCCCTATTCCTCAACCCGTAGCAAACATATAAAACTTATTAGAGAATAAAATAAAATTTAATCAAGAGAAAAAAGTACACATAGAACAAGAGTGGAGAAGCTAGCAGTTTTCAGAGAAAAAGAAAGAAAGATAAAAACATAAGGGACTTTTCAAATAGAAGCTTTGAGTTGGAGGGGATTGAGATATGGAAAATTATCTGATGGGAATTGATTAGTCTTGTCAGCATTGAGCCAAACTCCTCTATTGCAGATACAGGAATTTGAGGGAAGGCCTTTAGTTTTGTAACTCCCAGTACTTTAACTCGCCAGCAAAGAGGAAAACAATAACTTTTTGCACAGAAAGGAGATGGGAGAGTTTTTTTTTTTTTACACAAAAGATAGGAGAGAGATGGCTCTGAGGTCTTTCTATCAATTTTTCTCATAAAAAATCTGAGGTAAGATGACTCCAGAACACCACTCCAAAAATAGTTGGATGTGTCAAAGAAGTGATTGTATTCTCAAATTCTAGGAAGAATTGTATGCCATTTATCTCAAAGTAGAGGCATCTTGCCCTCATATTTGAACATCTAAATGTGTTATATTTCGTACAAATTATCCATCCAGTTAAAACAAATTAGGAGTTCTACCAAATTTTCTTCAAAAGTAACATGCCTTTCCTTTAAGTTCTTTCCTGCATAAAAAACTTCAACATAAATTGAAGGTCTGCATCATATTCACCTTTTTGAACCTATCAATTGGAATACCATCTTCATGTTTCTCACAAAATTTTCTGTTTAGGCTTACCTCAATTAAGTTTATTTTTACAAGTAAAAAAACTATCATAAGGTTCAGTTTTCCAGACTTAATCTTACTGAAATGTTACAAATCTAAGAGAACATCATGTTTTGTAAATATAGACTTAAGTCAACCAAAACTGATTTTCCTAATAAGAATTTCCAAGCTATTAAACATCGTAGTCTATGATTCAAGAGGCAAAACTACAATTATGTAGCAATTTAATTCTTTTTTTGATCAAGGAATAGAAAATTTAAGGTGTTTTATTAAAACAGTAACTTACTCATTATTTCAAGCAGGTGCTTAGAATGTAATATTTGAGAATCCTCATCTTGGACAAACCTTTAACCACCTACAAATAGGAAAACTATTTAGATTGCCATTGTAACAAAAAAATATATTGCTGAAGATACTCAGTTTAATATCCACTTAAGGTTCATAAAACGAATATTCAAGAGGTTTTACCAAGAGACAATTTATGTACTAAAACAAAAAATTTCAACACAAAGCAATCAAAAGAATAGCATCACACGATCTTTTGTAACTCATGGCCAATAACCAATGTGACCTGGAAGTTCTTGATTCTCAGAGAAGAAATTTATTAATTCTTCAAATGTTGAAAACCCAATGAAGAAAAAGGAATCGGAAGAACTGGAGCAAATAGAAAGACATTTTGACGATGAAGAAATCTATTTTAAACAAGTGAATCTTTTTGGTTACCATATGGATTGCTTTTCTGATCAGGAGATCAACAAAACACCTGCATGAAAGACACCAAAAAAAATGACTAAAAAAGAAAACTCGAATGAGGTTTGAAAAGAGCAAAGGCCAAAGAAAAATATACCATCATTTGAGCTCTGAAAAGAGCAATTTAAAGTAAAAATTAAATTAGAATGATAAAACAAAGCTTACGATTTTCCCCTCAGCAGTTGTCTTTCACGGGTGGCCATTTTCCTCCCTGTTGCAGAAGAAATCCTAGAAAGGCAAAAACGGAAAGAAAAATGGAACAATAAAACACAAAGTAGGTACAAAAAATAAAATAAATAAATACTCTACAGGCCAGCTAATCATCAATTATTCACCATCTCCGACCATATTAAAAGTTTTTTGTTGAAACTAAAAATAAAAATTTAATGATAAAACTAAAATGAAACAAATACATTAATCATGGAAAGAAAGGGGAAGAAAAATACCATATCTGTATTCTACAAATTCATATAGACAGTGGAGATGAAATATTAACCTTTCACTTCCTCGTTGTTTCAGAAAAGGACCAAAAAAAAGAAGGGGGAAGAATTGATTGTTTTTAGCCAAGGAAATATCAGGTAAAATGGCAGAAAAAAAGAAAAAATCAGCTATAATTACTTGAGGTATGGAGCGAGGGAGATGAAGGAGAACAGGAGGGAGAAATCGACAAAGGGAGGAGAGGAAGATTACCAGTCCCTTTGCAGTCTTGAGCCCACCGTCCATCAACTCAATCAGAAGGAAAAAAATCTGGAGCCCCCCAATTGAGATTACAACCTGTTTCAAGTACAATCAAATGCCAGAAATTCAGGAAAAAACTATGGGTCTCGCAAAGATGGAATTTTGTCTGGAGAATAACAGCAATAGGGATCGGTCTTCAAGAGTTCTTGACACTGACTGATAGGTGTGCGTTTGACAGAGAGAGAGAGAGAGAGAAAAGCGGAAGAAAAAGGATTGAAGATCCATCAGCATACGATGTCGTTTGATTGATCAAAAGGAAAAAGGGCAAAAAACCCATAAATCCTCAAACCATATGCCAAAAAAAGTTCCAAAGGTAAAAAATTCTTCAATATAAAAGACTTCAAAAGGTAATAAGTAAGTAGATTAACAATTAATCGCAAAAAAGTTTATAAATAATTGGGATTTATTTGGCAACCAAAAAAAAGTGTTAATAAGTACAAAAAGCTGGTAATTAAATGTTATTTGCTAGGCAATAAAAAGTGACAATTCACTTCCAAAAAAAAGAGACTAATTTTTGGGTAATAACTACATACAACTGGTAATTGAATGCGATTTGCTAGGCAACAAAAACATAATAATAATTATAAAAGTCAGCAATTAAACAGCAAAACCAGAGCTTAATTAATAAAAAATGAATTGAAACAAAGCTGATAAGTAAACCTCATTTGTTGGGCAACCTAAAAAATAAAAGAGGACATTTCCTTAAAAAAAAGTTGGGAAAAAGGTAACTAAATGAGATTTTTTGGGCAACAAAAAAAGGTTTTTTTTGTTAATAATTGCAAAAAAGTTATGAATTAAAAGCGATTTGTTGGGTAACAAAAAATGAAAATAAAAAGCGACATTATTAATTAGCTACTAACAATGAATTAATAATTAATACAATTAAAGCTATAAGTACAATAAAAGATAATAATTAATAATTGCAATTTATTCTGCAACCAAAAGAAAGCACCGATAATTGTAATAATTGAGATACCAATTTTTTGTTAACACAATTTATTGTTGGGAAAGGGCAAAAAGGGGCCAAATTTTAGCACAATCCAACATGTAATATGTTAACAAGCACTTCCAATCCAATAAAATAACAAAAGGATTGTAAATCAGGTTTTATTAGAACACTTCCTGGCAAACAATATTAATGAACAATAAATCAGAACACTTCTTGGCAAACAACAAACAAAGAAAAACAAAAGGATTGTAAACGTCTGAACAAAAGAATTCAATTGGAAATTGGCACGGCCCGAACAACCACCAACAATCAGCCAATAGCAGGCAAACAACAAACAAAGAAGCAAAAGAACTCTGTTTTCAGCCTTTTAAGCCCCCCGGGGTTAGATCACCCGGTCTGCGGCTGGAAAACCACTCGCAAGGTCGTGGGATCAAACCTCACCTAACGCCTGGGTGCGGTTGGGGTGGCGCTGTACTCCAGGCGCAGGGGATTAGTCGGGCCGCCTTCGGGTCTTGACCCGGACACCCCTGTGTTGACAAAAAAAAAAAAAAAAAAACAAACAAAGAAGCAAAATGATTACTAAACGCCTGAGCAAGCAAACAAAAGAATTCACGCGTGGGAAACGGACGACCATCAATTGGAATTCGCACGGGCGGACGACCGCCAATCAGCCAATAGCAGCGCGCCACGTCAGCAATCACAACCCAATTGAAAACAATTGGCATTCCCCAATAGACTAGATATGTTAATTAGCTTCTCTGTATTTCTACTTTAGTAGGAATACCACAAAAAGGAAAGGGCTTTGGAGTTAAAAGAAAAACTAAAGGGTAATGGCAATGGTTTTGGCAAAGGATATTCTTGAAAGTAAGTGGTTATGCAAAATTTAACAAAGGTGTAAAAAACTAAAAAGCAGGACAAAGTAAAATTTGCAAGTCCACACGTCATGGCAAATGGGAATGCATGAAGAAAACAAGATATTAAAACTACTTTTAGTTTCTGAGAATTTGTGGATGTAAATAGTTTCTTTTCTTAATAAAAAACTACCTCGAAACGGTGTAAGATTGGACATAAACTCCGACCTATTTATTAAAAAATTTCAAAGAGTCCATGATAAAGAGGATATACACTTCTCAAATTTGACTAAGAATTTTACAAACTTTTAAATGATATCAACATACTCCACATTCATGGTACCGTGAGGGTGTTAGAATTTTTTACTTTAAATTTTGTCGCATTTGTATTGTTTTACTACTAGTTTTTGATCATTCATTTTATTTTTTGATCTTCTTTGAAATTATTTGGTTGAACTAATCATCGTCGACGTATTGATCTAGGTCACTCTTCGTGAGTAGTCTACTTCTTTATTGTTGTCATCGTTGATTGTTCAAAAAACACTTAAACAATTACCTTCAAGAAATAATCTGTTCTGTAATACTGGCACATAAATGAAGTAAATAGTTTTTGGATTACCGCTTCATATATGAGGAGGTCTACATTTATGATACATATAAAAGATTTCAAATGTGAATATAGATAATATAGTGTAAATTTAAGTTAGATCATATAAAAATAGGGCAAATTATCCAATTGGCCCTTGAACTCTTTGTCTAAGTAAAAATAAGCCCCTCATCTATTTTTTGTTGACTTTAAGCCCTCGAACCTGTAAAATTGGGCACCCGTGACCCTTTTAGCCAGTTTCTCCGGTTTTGCAACCGGAAGGCGAATTCACACGAGTAGCAGTATGCTTTGAAAAATGGCATTTTTGTCAAAAGATTCAAAACTCGCGCGACGCTAGGGTTTTAGTACTCCCCTCTTTCGATCTCTTCGACACACAGTAGAACACGGTAGCTAACGCACAGTTGATTTGATTGGTCTCAATTCTCAGCCAACGACAGTCCATCTATGGTTGAGGTACCAGTAAATGACACTGTTGCTTCTCCATCTCTGGCCAGTCAATCCAATAGTAGTGTTGTGCCGTTGGGGAGCTCGGTCATTCTGATCGTCAACAAGCTCCAAGACATATTCGCGTAGCTCTTCAGTCAGTCTACAATTGAATTGCCGCAAGTGGCCGTCGTCGGAAGCCAGAGCAGTGGAAAATCCAGTGTTCTGGAGGCACTAGTCAGAAGAGATTTCTTGCCCAGAGGTTCAGATATTTGAACTCGACGACCTCTCATTCTTCAGCTCATGCAGACTAGACGAAAACCTGATGGCATCAAGTGGGCCCTCCACTAGATCGACGGCTCCGAGTCCTTCGCGAAGCGCCTGGTGGCCTTTGCCTGCGTGGAGGGGATATTCTTCTCAGGGAGCTTTTGTGCCATATTCTGGGTGAAGAATTGGGGGCTGATGCCGGGCTTGACCTTCTCCAACAAACTGATCTCGCGGGACGAGGGGCTTCATTGTGACTTCGCGTGCCTGCTGTACGGGCTGCTGAGGGCGAAGCTGAGCGAGGAGATTTTGATCTCAGAGATGGAGGGCTTCACTGTGACTTCACTGAGGGAGGCCATGGCTGAAGCCATGGAGGACTCGGAGATGGTGTCTACGGGGGAGGAGACGAATAGGAGGGAGAGGGAGAGGTTGCGGGAGAGAGGAGAGGAGAGGGAGACGGCATCGGTGGAGAAGTCAATGAAGTGGGGGAGGAAGATGAGGTCGTCGTAGGTGTAGGAGTAGTCCATGGAGGGAAGAGAGAGGAGTTGTTCTTTTTTTGCTTAGAAGATGCGGACAAAAATGCCATTTTCCAAAGCATACTGCCACTCGTGTGAATTCGTCTTCCGGTTACAAAATCGGAGAAACTGGCTAAAAGGGTCACGGGTGCCCAATTTTACAAGTTCGAGAGCTTAAAGTCAACAAAAAATAGATGAGGGGCTTATTTTTACTTAGACAAAGAGTTCAAGGGCCAAATGGATAATTTGCCCTGTAAAAATATATGTACATTAAGCGTTAAGCTAAAACTTTACAAGGGCTGATGGGAGCGGATGGAGAACCCGCATTGGATTATGCTACTTACATACAAGCATAGCAAGCGTCCAACGCACATTGTCAATGACCACTAGGTTAGCCTCAAGGGTCAAACTCATATCGAAATGGACAAAAATCGGGCCCAAATAACCCGCCCAGTGAAATTTGTACGTGCTTAATAAATTATTACAGTGAAATAGTACGCTGTTTTTAGAAATTAGCAAACTTCTAGGGGTAAAAAAGAAATAGCCTTCGTACCATTATTTTAATCATGGGATAATTGCAGAAACCTCCCCTGAGATTTCTGACATTTGCACTGACCTCCCCTCTAGGTTTTGAAATTGCATTCACCTCCCCTGAACAGTAACAATTCGTTGCAGAAACCTCCCTGACAGCTTTTGTAGAAGTGAGATAAGAAATTTCTTCCAATTTTGCCCTCTTCTTGCTTGACAATTATTATTTGCTTGACAATTACTTAACTAATTATCTAGTTAGTTAATTGTTAAACTAATTAACTATTAACTAATTATTTGATTAATTATTAACTAATTATCTAATTAATTAATTTCTATTTATCTAATTAACTAATTAACTAAAGCTATTGTCTGTCTGAAACTAACAAACTATTTGCATGTTAAACTAATTAACTAATTAACTGCTTAACTAATTAACTGATTAACTAACTAGCTAATTAACATACTATTTGCATGTTAAACTATATGCAGTACGCATTACCTATTTAAACTATCGGCTCTTTATGGGTATTTTACTTTCAAACATTTTATTTATGATAAAAACATCAATGTTTGTAAGTAAAATTCAAAAAGTGTTACAATAATATTCTTACAAAAAGGGAGGGGCATAGGTGTGACGCCCCCACTTCTCCCTAAGGCGAACCAAAGGGTATCCGCGGGACGCCTGCCCAACTCTTGCCAGGACTCATTACAATCCATCATTCAAGAGCTCGAAATACTATAAGTAACTTCAATACATAATTAAAGTACTTCAAATATCTCACACTTACAATTATGTAGCTATCAAGCTTAAATACAACCCAACGGAAAAGGGTACAATAGCCATCCGTTATAATATAACTCAAAGCCTTCAAAAGAGAACAATCTAGTACTACTCACGAGCACCCTTGGTCTCTAACCCTGAAAAGAAATCCACAACGTGGTATGAGCTACACAGCCCAGAGAGGTTCCAAGACACTCTAATAGTTCAAATAAATCAAGTAAGTTGGGCATATCAT